TAAACTGAAGAATATTCCTGGGGGGTTGGAGTCGTGCCTAGCACATGTGAGGCACTGGGTTCGATCCTTAGCACCACATAAAAATAAATAAATAAAATAAAGGTATTGTGTCCATCTACATCTAAAAAAATTTTTTTTAAGAAAGAATATTCCTAGGTTGGCTTATTCTTAATTGTGAGCAGTAATTTTCTAAAATTCAACTTCCTATTTGATAAATGAATAAAATAAACTACTTTTTTTTCATATTTTCAGTAGAAAATGTTTAAAAATGAAGCAAACAAAATGTAATTAAAATGTATTCAATGAAATATGGTAATTTTCACATTTTATTTCTTTTAATACTGTTTCTTAAATATATTCAGCCTCTATATTTTCCTTGCATCGTCTGGCAAGTCTGTGACTCAGATCTTGTTTATTATTCCTTTTTCTCTTTAAACAGATGATATGGCATCTTATGCCTGTCTGGCAGAGGGAGGGGGCATGTGCCAACTGGGTTGTGTTTGAGAGGACTGTGGGTCTTCTGATGGAGAATGTTGGCTGCCTCATTGATTGTACCAATAAAAGCTAGGTTACTCTACAAATGTGCCAGTGGGGGAGAGTAATGAAGACATTATCCAGCCAACAAATAATACTCTACTTCTTCCTCCTAACAGAGATGAGAGAACAAAAGTCTGTTATAGGGTGCAGTGGCACACCTGCAATCCCAGTGACTCAGGAGGCTGAGGCAGGAGGACCACAAGTTTGAGGCCAGCCTCAGTAACTTAGTGAGGCCCTCAGCAACTTAGCAAGACCGTCTCTCAAAATTAAAAAATCAAAAGGCCTGGGGATGTAGCTTAGTGGTAAAGTGCCCCTGGTTCAATATCAGTACCTCTTCACCCCCACAAAAAATTGTTATGACTAATTTTATCCTAAACAAATAGTTTATACAAAACCAAAGTGACCTACTCACAGTTCTCCACCACATTCTTCTTCTCTAACTCATGGATTGTGTGGTAATAGCATTTTGCATCATCCCAAGATGGTCTGACTTCCTTCTTAGGAACTGCCAAAGTTCCTTGCCCTTGCTCCATGGCTTCCCAGAGAGAAATCTGGTCTGTCTGGTTCTCAGGTCTAACAGTGTCTGGCACATAGGATATACTTAATAAACATGAGTGCATGAGTTGTTTGAAACCTAAAGCAGGGTTCTTATCTTCTGTGTCTCTTTTCCTCATCTATGAAAAAGTCTAAGGTTTATAGTGATAGCTGCATGAGTCAAGGGTCCCACATCCCTCCAATTTGATTGTGATTTCCTAAAGCCAAGAATTATGTAATATTTCTCTATCTCAATGTTAGTGCCTAGCTGTGCTTTTTTTTTTTCTTAAATTATTTAACGAATACTTTGCATCAGGCCCTCTTCTAAAAACTTTATCATTAGGCAGGGTGGTGCACACCTGTAATCTCAGCTATTTGGCAGGCTGAGGCAGGAGGGTCACATTATCAAGGCCAATCTGGGAAATTTAGTAAACAGCTGTCTCAAAATAAAAATGGGCTGGGGATGTAACTTAGTGGTAGAGCACCCCTGGTTCAAGCCCCAGTACCTAAAAAAAAAAAAAAAAAAAAAAAAAAACTACTTCACACACTGTGCCTTACTATACTGCCTCACCTTACCAATGGTTGTTGAACAATGAAGAGGAAATTTGGCATCTAAAGAGAAAATTGGAAGGGTAGAATATTTATATAAAATAAATCCAAATGATTATTATTTTTCCTGCTATTCCATACATAGTTGATATAGGACAAATGTTGTCACTGTATAAATGTAGTGATAAAACCTAGGCTGATTTGAATACTTCAAGAGGATTTTGCTTCTTGGCTAAAAATAAATAAAACTATCAAATTGGTGAGTCACTTTAAGTACTCAAAAATAATTTCAATTTCCATATGTGACTTAAGTCCTCAGTAGTAAATTATACAAACTCACAACTGGTTAGAAGTTCAAAATCAGGTGGGTGGTACTTAGGAGTGTGAGGCAGGAGGATTGCAAGTTTGAGGCCAGCCTTAGCAACTTGGCAAGACCCTGTCTCGAAATTTAAAAAATAAATAAATAAAAAGGTCTGAGGACATAACTTAGTGATACAGCATTCCTGGGTTCAGTCCCTTCCCAGTAATGAAAAAAAAGTTCAAAATTTAGTTATTTTGCTAGACAATTATATTAAGTTTGCTAGAATTGCTGTAACAAAGTACCACAAACTGTATGGCTTAAATAACAAGAATTTATTGTTTCACAGTTATGGAGGTTGGAAGTCCAAGGTCATGGTGTTAGTAAAGTTGGCTGTGAGGGAAGGATCTGTTCCAGGCCACTGTGGATGACCAATCTGTGTTTTCACTTCATTTTTCCTGTGTGTGGGTCTATCTCTGTTTCCAAATTTCCCTCTTTTTATTTTTCACAGTACTGGGGATTGAACCCAGGGATGCTATACTTTAGAGCTATATCCCAGCCCTTTTTATGTTATTTTAAAATTTTAAGACAGGATCTCACTAAGTTGCCCAGACTGGCCTTGAACTTGTGATCCTCCTGTCTCAGCCTCTTCAGAAGCTGGAATTATAGGTGTGTGCTACCACTCTTGGCCTCCCCCCTTTTTTTTTTATAAGGACATTAATTATACTAGGTAGTAATTTTAATAAGATCACATTCTGAGAAAGTGGGCATCAGGACTCCAATATACTCTATCTTTTTGGGGGGAGGGTGTACAATTGTACCTGTAATAACAGAAGACATGGGGGAGGGTAAGATTCTGGGTCTGAATTCTAGCTCTTCTTTTATTAACTGTAAGACCTTGCTGTTTCTTATTTCCTTCCTTTAAATGAAGATAAGATAGGTAGTATCTTCCTCATGCTGTTATGAGGATTAAATGAATTTGTCCAGGTAACACTTAGAATTCTTAGTGACAGAATACATGTGAAATATTCATTCTTTTTAAAAAGAGTCATCAAATATCTACCATGATCCAGGTATTGTTTGAGCTGTTTGAAATACAGAAGCAAAGAAAATAGACAAAAATATCTACCTTCATGCAGCTTTTAAACTGGTAGAGAAAGAAAGACAATAAAAAAGTGAGAACACTTAGAATATCAGCCAATGGAAGTGCTGTGGAGAAAAATCCAGCAAGATAAGATCTAGAGACCATTGGGTGTTGCAATTTAGGATTAAGGGTACAATTTGAGGGGGAAAAAAACATAATGGGAGGAGACAGTGAAATACTTTTCTGCAGAAAGTTTTCTTCTTGTTGTTTTAGATAGAGGAGGGTTTCTGCACCTCAACACTCTTTTAAAAAAATATTTTTAGTTATAGATGGACATAATACCTTTTATTTTATTTGTTTTTTAAATGTGGTACTGAGGATCAAACCCAGCACCTCACTTGTGCTAGGCAAGTGCTCTACCACTGAGCCACAACCCCAGCCCACCTTAACACTCTTGATGTTTGGGCCTGGATAATTCTTTGTTGTGGGGCTGCCTTGTGCATTGTAGGCTGTTTAACAGTATTTTTGGTTTCTATATACTAGATGTTAGCAGTCTTCCTCTCTGCATCTCCCAGCTGTGACAGTCTGATCACAAAATGTCTCTGGACATCACCACATAGAGGGCAAATCAAATTACTCCTAGTTGAGAACCAGTAAGAGAGAAGAAAAGTTAAAGCCCAGAGACTGGAGCTTGTTAGAAGCAAAGCAAGGAGGCAGGCAGTGTGTGTGTGGGGGGGAATCAGAAAGGGGAGGGATGAAGCACATCACCTGTGACCTGGAGACCACTCTTTAGACAGATGGGAAACCACTGGGGGTTATAAACAAAATCACAATGTGACCTGTATTTAAAAAAAAAAAAAATCCCTCTGCCTGCCTGATTGAGAATTAACTATAGGCTAAAAGACAGAATGGAGAGGATTGAGAGATTATCATAATAATGCCATTGATTTTCTATATATTTAATTTTTTCATTGATTTTCCTGGTTGTTGATGGGGCAGCTAAGAAAGCTTAACTAAGATGCCCTGGGGAAAAAAAGGCAGTATGGTAATTAAGCCAATTTGAAAGCAAAGGGTTTTATAGGACAAAGAGGGAATATGTTGGGGGGCAGTTTGTGTACAGAGCCTTGAATACTGAGAAATTGGAGCTCTAGTCTGTCAGTAACAGGGAGTCTTTGAGTTTGTGCAATGGGAAACTCAGCATCAGTGTGCAGAATAGAAGTCAGAATAATTTCAAAAGGTATATCCTGAAACAATATGGGTGAGAGACCCCCAAGAGCTGAGATGTGGGTAGAATAAGAATATGGCACCACACCATGAAGGAAGCAAAGGAGGTCCTAAGGTTTAGACCTTACAATCTTTTTATTCTTCAGGGTAATTGTGTTTGTAAGAGGTACAGACTTTTGTTTCCACTGAGAGGGTTTGTAATCATTTCCAGGATATCGGATATCAAGCCAAAGCAAGCCCACCAAGAGGTTTCAGAAGTGTAGTACTTGGGAAAGGGATGCCTTAGAGGAGAATGTGTTAGCTTTCACCAAAGGTCTTTTCAAGCAGACTATCAATTGTAGGTGAGAAAACTGCCGAATCCTGGCATAGGGAGAGAACAGGCCTACATCCAGAGTTCTTTCAGGATGGTCTTACATTTCCATTTCTAAATTAAAAATACCTTAGCAGGTTTAGCAGGGCGGTGTAGGTACACCAAACCAGTCCCACTAAATCACAGGCAGGCTCAACAAGGACCTCTGCCTCCTTTAGGTCTTTTTGTACTAACCGGATTTCAGAAATGAACCCACAAAAGACACAAAATACGCCTCCTTTCCCTCACTCGTTTTATGCCCAGTTGGTTTAAGGCTGTAACAGCTGGGTTCCACTGGGAAAGATGCTGGCCTGGCGTGTCCAGGGCGTGGCGCTTGCGGTCGAGAGCGGGGCGGAGGAGGGAGAGGGGCCGTACCGGCCGGGCGGGGCGAGCAGGGCACGCGCCCGGAGACGCGTTTACGCGCAGCGGTTCCCCGCCCGCCGCCGCCCCCGCCCCAGTCTGCTTCGTTCTGCGTCCACCCGGCACTCGGAGCAACCCCGGCGGCTGCGCGACAGTCCCCGCCATGTCTGCAGCCATGAGGGAGAGGTTCGACCGGTTCTTGCATGAGAAGAATTGCATGACCGACCTCCTAGCCAAGTTGGAGGCCAAGACCGGCGTGAACCGGAGCTTCATAGCGCTCGGTGGGTGGTTGGGCCCTCCGAGGGTCGCTGCTTCTGGCCGGGCACTGAACTCGCCCTGCACCAGCTGCTGGGAAAAGACGCAGGGCGAGTGCTCCTCCAAGGCAGACGGGGCGAGCAGCATCCTTGGGAACCGAGCTGGTCTAGAAAGCACTGGGCAGCCCGGGCTGCGGGGTCGTGGGCCTTTGCCTGCGGACCAGGTAGCGGGGCAGGAAGGGTGGCGTCTGTTCCCGGGGAGCGGGAAAGGGCCAGCGCTGACGTGTCTGTCCCCGCGGCTGGGCGAGTGTCTCGGTGGACCTGCGCGGGTTTCGCGCCGAGCGCCGGGGCCCTGCGAGCTGGCTCGTTATGGAAGTAAATGGTAGTGTCCAGACCTTAACCAGAGCTCCGCGGTAGAGGCAGTCTCCGGTTTGGGAGGGCGGGACCGCGAGCAGGTGAGGGAATCCCAGTCTCTCGACCCTCCGCAGAGCGAGCTTCTCGCTGCTGCGCAGCGCGGCGGGGCTCCAGCAGGACGGCCGGCGGGGTGCTTCCCCGGGCCCTCTCGGGCCCCCGGGGTGGGTACTGGGAGAGGCGGGAACAACCCGAGGGAGGGAGGAAAGGCACGGAGGTGGGGGTTGCCCGGGATCCCTAGAACCGAGGCAGCGCCCCACGGAGGCACAGGCCCAACCTTCGTGTGGTTTGTTTTTCTCGTTTAATCGAGTGTGGAGCCAAACGCCTAGAATAGGCCAAGTCCCGTGGTTTGGACAGGGGCTGCCCCGCTTGAACGCGCCTCTTGCCATCCGACCCACTTCTCTTATCTTATGTCTCCCTCAAGGTGTCATCGGGCTAGTGGCCTTGTACCTGGTGTTCGGTTATGGAGCCTCTCTCCTCTGCAACCTGATAGGATTTGGCTACCCAGCTTATGTCTCGTAAGTGGCTCACCCTTGCAAACATCCCTTCCTGTCCACTTCCCTCTCTCCATTTAAGACTGCTGTAGTAGAATACCTATATATCTCTGTCTATCCCCATTTTCCAAGAGAGCAGTAAAAAAGTGCCAGAGGTAGTACCTACTGCTTAAGGTTACACATTTTGGAGCCTTAACTTGGTTCTTGATCAGGAAACTATAGGAAAGGTATTTTTCATCAGGTTATACTGGGAGGGTGTATACACTCTCATATGCATGTACAAATGGGTGTGTTAGATAGATCTCAGACATCCTACTTTTTCTAATGGGGAGATCGAAACTGGTATAGGGAGCTGATTGCTTTTCCCCAACAATCATTTTCATGGACATTTCACCACATGTCTATGTAAATAGACTGCAAAACCCATCAATTAGGACTTTCTTCATAGAGAATTATTAATTCAGACAAGAGGGAGAATTTTAACTTTTTGATTTTATAAAAGGCCAGTATTACCAGTAAACTTGGGAAATGCTTAATCTAACAAACCTTATAAAATGCATCCATAATGTAACTCCTTGATTGTATAAATGACTCATTTTTGTAATTAAACTAAATTAAAAATTAATCTTATAAGGTTGGGAACTAATGAGGTTTTTATTTTATAATGTGTTTATTTTGAAAATGCTCTACATTTTATTATCGCCACTTATTCAAATAGGAATTATTCCTCTCCACAAATGCATTTTGTTTTATTCTGGAAGAAAGCTGTTTGGCTTTTATCTTCATTCAGCTGATTTCTGGAACTTTTCCCTATCTGTAGGGATAAAAGTAAAGAGAAAAAATTTTCAGCTGAGAAGCTGAGACAGATAACACATTATTATACATTGTGTCTATTGTTGGTCAGGCTAGAATTTAATATATGACTAGAAGGGAGGAAACATTTTAGAAATAGGTCTGATTTGAACTAATAAACTGCAGTTGCATAAGTAGTTGTTAGTGTATTAGACTGGTATAGACAATTAATCATATGGTAGAAACTCTAGCTTACTTTCAGGACACTGCCTGCTGGTAAAACTAGAGATCCTTAATTTTTAAATTGAGAAGAGCTTTTATCCTCTCCAGCATTATCTACTAATGCACAAACCAGGTTTTCCACATATACTAAGAGTTCCTGAAATCAGATAAGGAAAACTGGTTTTGCTTTCAATTAGGTAAAAGATACAATAATAACAATTTTCCTTAAAAGTTAATCTCCTGTTAGATGGTGTATTGAAAGTGTGTAGGCAACTGATTCAAAATGGCTTGCACGTTGCTATGACTGTGTAACAGACAAAATAATCCTGTAGTGTACTCCTTTACCACCTTCTTTTTGTTTGTGCTACATGTAGTTCTTCTGGTTTTATTTTTTAGTACTGGGGATTGAACTCAGTAGCACTCTACCACTGAGTTACATCCCCAGCCCTTTTTATTTTGAGACAGGGTCTCACTAAGTTGCTTAGAACCTTGCTAAATTGCTGAGGCTGTCCTCGAATTTTATCCTCTTGCCTCAGCCTCCTGAGTGGCTGGAATTATAGGCTTCAGCCGTCAAGCCTGACTTCTACTTGCAGTTCTTTTAAAAAAGATTTTGAAGCATTGTCAGGTGTGTGCTTTAGATGTTATGGATCACATGTGGAACAAATCTTGAGTGGCAGTTTAGTAACTGCCTTTTTGTTTGATATTCAACGAGCAAAGAATGTGAACTTTTAAAAATACTAAATAACATAATAAATTTTTTTCCCTATATCAGTGCCATTTGGTACCTAATTATGTGAGAAACATTAGTTTCTCTTTTGGTGTGATTAGTTTATCTGTGTGAGCTGTAGAAAAATAAAAAATCTCTTTCTATATGGGACATGTATATTTGTGGATGTGTGGAAGTTGATGTGACTGAAAATGTGGACAGAACTTGAATATGTTTTTCTGTGGAAGTGAATTAATTCTAGTAGGGGCTATTTTCAGGCATATTTCAAAGTGTTTTTAAGTCAGCCAATTTCTGCTTCATAATTTCTAGTAATTTCTTCATTAATTTTCTACAGAATCCATTCCATATTGTTGGCTCTTTTTACTTAGAAGAAGCTAAATGTTTTTGTCTTTTGCTAGAAATTTGTGAAATAGTAGAGCTACTCATTTCTGAGTAATGCAGGAAAGTAAATTTTACATATTTTAGAATTCTACTGACCTAGTATATGTACTTTATTTTCTTTTCAATTTGAGTATTCTGAGACAAAATTATGTTTCTATTACATCTTAATAGGAATTGGAGAAATATTAAAAATCTGAGTTCAGTGGCGCAGGCCCATAATCCCAAGGACTTGGGAGGCTGTGGCAGGAAGATCACAAGTTCTAAGCCAGCCTCAGCAACTTAGTGAGACCCTGTCTCAAAATTTAAAAAATGCTGGGGTTGTGGCTCAATGATAGAATGTCCCTGGGTTCAGTACTCCGTATTGGGGAGGGGGGGGGAACGTAGTAAAGGGAACTTAGTAATTTAAGCAAATTCAGGAAAAAAAAAAAAAAAATATATATATATATATATATTTAAGAGAGAATTTTTAAAAAATATTTATTTTTTAGTTTTCGGTGGACACAACATCTTTATTTATTTTTTTATTTTTATGTGGTGCTGAGGATCGAATCCAGCGCCCCGCGCATGCCAGGCGAGTGCGTTACCACTTGAGCCACATCCCCAGCCCAGGAAATTATATTTAATGAGTATTTTTTGATTGTTATTCATGAATGCCTGAATCATAACCCCTATAGATTCTTGTATCATTGGTCTGAGGTATGTCCTAAGTTTTGGGGGTTTTAAAAGTTCCTCAAGCTTTTATAATTTTTAAAGCATTCTAATATTCAGTCAATGTTGAGAGCCCCTGGCATACAGTGGTGGTAATAACCTGTGCTTTTTGCATGTGAAGAGGAATGGCTTACTGACCCTGTGAATAATCCAGAAGCCTACCTGGAATTCTTTTGTGTAGGAGACTCAAGGAAAACTGGGAGTATATGCACAGTAAGAGTACTCCTAGTTAGTAAATTTTCAGGCCGTTAGAATCATTATAAGTAGTTTTATTCGTTGCTTGTTGCTTAATCAGTGTGATTGTATAATTGTCCAGAAGAAAGAAAGTCCTTGAAAATGGTGGTTTCTAGTAGCACTCAAATCATTGATCTTAAAACATGACTTGTAATCACTTTCTTAGTCTAGTTGGGCTACTCTAACAAAATACCTTAGTTTGGGTGACTTTAAAAAAAAAACTTTTTTTTTTAATTATAGATGGCTACAATACTTTTATTTTATTTATTTATTTATTTTTATGTGGTGCTGAGGATCAAATCCAGTGCCTCACATGTACTAGGCAAATGCTCTACCTCTGAGTTACACCCCAGCCCCAATCTGGGTAATTTTTAAACAACCGAAATTATTTGCTCACTATTCTGTAGGCTGGGAAGTCAAGACCCATGCCCAGCTGATTTGGTATCTGTTGAGGGCTTGTTTCCTGTTTCAAAGATGACATTTTCTTGCTGCATCCTCACATGGCAGAAGTGGCAAATAGTTCCTTTTATAATGGCACTAATCTCATGGGGGCTCAGCCCTCATGACTTAATCACCTCCTAACAGGCCCATTTCTTCATATGAACACATTGGGTGTTGGATTCCAACATATGAATTGAGAGAGAAAACAACATTCAGACCTTAGCAGTTATCTTTACTCTAATTATATTCTCCGTGCTTTTCATAATTCTCATTATGCTGCCCAGCCAGTTATTTTTGTTCTTTTTTCATTTTAATTTTTTGATGCTAGGAATTGAATCCGGGAGTGCTTTACCACTAGCTACATCCCTAGTCCTTTTTATTTTTTTGAGACAGGGTCTTACTAAGTTGCTGAGGGTCTCACTAAATTGCTGAGGCTTGTCCTTGAACTTGTGATCCTCCTGCCTGAGCCTCCTGAGTTGCTGGGATTACAGGCATGTGCCACTGTACCCAGTTATTTTAAAAAATACAGTTTATTTATTTAACAAATATCAAATGCTAGCACTGTAGTAATAGCACTTCAGATGTGGCAGGGAGTGTGCTTTTTCTCTCTCTCTCTCTTTTTTTTTTTTGGTGGTGGTGGGGATTGCACTCAAATTTTTGTACATGCAAGGCAAGTGCTCTACTACTGAGCTACAGGTTCCCAGCCTCTGTCTTGAATAATCTGCTTGGATAAATAGTGACAATGTGGTAAGCCCCTCAAAGAAAATGAATAGGGAGTATTGTGGTAGAGGATGACAGGAAGACTCTCTTTGGATATTTATGTGAGGTACTGTTTGAGTTGTAAAGGGGCCAGCTAAAGGGAGAGCCAGGCAGAGGAAGTGAAATGGGCCAGGCCCTGAGGCAGCAGGTCTATGACTGGGAAGAGTGGGGAGGGAGGTGTCATGGAGATATAGGTGTACCAGTAGGGAGGGCTGGGACAGAGAACCAGGTGTAGCACATTTCATTCCAGATGGTTGTACGGAGTTTGCATTTTTCTTGATTGCCTCAGATAGGTATTAAACAGGAGGTAATGTGACATGATTTACATTTTAGGTAAGGTAAAATGTAAGTGACTGCTATAATTTCTGTAAGGAGTGGGTAATCCTGTCAAACTAATTTTTTTTTTTTTTTTAAGTGCAAGGGATTGAACCCAGAGCTTCATGCTTGTTGGCATGTTGGGGGCGTATCACTGAGCTACTCCCCCAGCCCTATCCTGTTAAATTCTTGCCAGAAGTGTATTTCCTTCTTTCCTTACCTTTCATCTTTTATTCTTGCTGTTTCTTTGGACCATCATAGGGAGCAGTACACAGATTGTGTACAATCGTTGATACTGGGCCCAGAGCCTGCAGAAATGAAATTCAGAAAAGCTGATTTGACTTCCTAACTTCTCATCACTCACCCTCATGGGTGAGACTCAGGTGTACCCAGCTCCAGGGCAGTCCTCACTCAATATTGGAGCAGGTAGACAGTTAAAGGCTAG